GGCATCTCGTCCGATTGTAAAATAGTTTCAATTTTTGCAGCTACTGCATCAGGGGACGTTCAGTCAGAGTCGCACTCAAGCTGTTCTCTGTGTTTCATCTCCAAAAACTTTGCCATGTGCTCCAGTCGTGACGAACCTCGGTATATCCACTCCTTATGTTCACTCTCCTATGAGAAAAAGACTTAATTAATAAAGCAACTAAGTAAGTAATTAAAGGAAAAGAACCAGCAGCTACTCATGCTACACATCAGATCCTAGTAGATGCAACTATGCTATCAATTTCAAAATCTTACTTCGCCTTATTTTCAAGTCATCTAATTCATGTGATTTTCTGAAAACCTCAACTCCGCACTTTAGCTAGTGGTCACTAAGATTCTTATTTGTCACTGATTTTTAGCAGACGCACCTATGGCATCAATTTTAAGTTTCTATGTATATAAAAAATTGAAATAGCAATACAAGTATAGCCTACGGCAGTGATGAATTCTTTTATTTCTGCCTTAAAAAAAGCAAATTGATGCAGATGTTTGTAAGAATGTGCCAACCATCTACAAGCAGATGCCACAAATATCAAATATTTTTCCACTAAGACACTAACTAAATATTTTCAACAAATTCTCTTAAACTTGAACTTTTGCTTTGAAAAAGAACACAGACCCAGTTTTTCCCATGTTTGAATAGTTGGACAGTGTTTGCATCTTCCATGCAAACTACTGGCGACTACAGCATCTTTGCAAATCCAAGGATAGGGTGACCAATTTCATCTAGCAACCTCCAGAAACCACTCACCAACCAGCTGCAGAATACACATCTCTCTTTAGCGAATCAAAGAACAGTTTCTAAGCCTGCAAGATCAGAGTTAAAGCAATCGATTTCACAGCCTGCCAGCAACCATCTGCCAACTGGTTGGGGAATACATGCTTTTTCCTAGCGATCAGCGGTTGCTAAATCATCGACCGATCTCTAGGCCTGTGTGACTGGAGCCACTCAGTCTCCATAAAGCAGTGTCAGTGTCTCAACTTTATCTATTATATCTTGTACAAAACTTAAAATTTACCTTTAAAAAATTACCTGTGAATGCTTTGTGTTAGTATTGTTCTAGATTCATAAATGTTATAAAATTCAGCTGAAAATCAAATATAAAAATTTTTAACTAAAAGATAAATGAAATACTGACCTGAAAGATAACCTGCATTAAGCTGCAGTCAATAATCTGCACTTCACACTTTTGCAGGACTCCGTTCAATTCAGCATTAAGGGTCTGTCCAAGCCTGTACTGGGTTAACTGAGGGTACGGCCACTTATTCAGGTAATGTTCTATGAAGTCTTTGTGAGGGCCCTCTGGAATGTCATCTGCAACGTTTTCCACTTTGAAACAAAATTAAAAAGAAGAAAGAAAAAGTTGGTTACTCGTTTTATGTGTCTAAGAGCTGTACAGTCAGTAAATAAAAAGACTTGAGAGGATTTCTGAGTATATGAATATGAACCCCCCCAAAGTATAAAAACAATTCAACTTACAAGGTTTCCAAACCAAATGAATTAAAGGTAACCCAACATAGACCGGCGTGTGATCATCCAAAAAGATCAAGAACCTGGAATTGTAAAATGTGTTAGCATCAAGTCAAACTTCCAGCGTTAGCAGTTCCTAACAGAAAATCTTGGCTAAACAGTCAAATCTGATTGCACAGCACGCTATAAATTCATTGGGTTAACCATGGCCAAAAGGGTACACAAGTTTTCTAGCAATTTTAATCATAAAATTGAAATAAACACCTTAGGCGGTTCTTTCTGCTGGGGAGCTCGCCTACGACACCAGGCTGGAACCGGTACTTGTTATCTTGACACTGAATCACCACACGGGCACCAACATACAGCTGCTCCACCTTTGCTGTGGTGTCAAAAGCAACGTGGTGTCCAGATACTAGACTCTTCCCTTTTTCTTCAAAACTGACTTTGTATTTTAACCGTCCGTCTTC